TTCTTTTTTTTTTTTTAAATAATAAGATTTTATTAATTTAAGCATAAATGTCATAATATGTGTACAGCCGTTTACACATATCCCTGTACATATGCATATTTTCCCCTTATACATACATACATGCATACATACATACATACATATCTTTATATATGCTCATACATCTTGGGTATCTCATTGTATCTCGTATTATTTTTATTTCTCACCCAATATGGATACCCATCTTAATTTTATTCCTATTTGTATCTATATTTACCCCCCTCCCCCTACTAACTCCACTATCCCCCCTCCCCCTCCCCTATTACCACTCTTCTCTGCATTTATAAAAACCCCCATTCTAATATTTTCCGCTATACTTCTATATTACATAAAGTGTCTCCTTTTAAATCTTTATATTACAAAATCTTTAAGTTTCTCCCTTTATCACAGTACTCCATCTACGTTTCTTGTCCTTATATCTACTCCAGGGTTTCCACATGGTCTCCCACTGAGAGTGTCGTTCATTAATATGTGCCGTTAGCTCTTCATATCTCTGAATCTTATTGATTTCCATGGCCCATTCCTTAATATTTGGAACTCTCTGTGTGTTCCAGTATCGCGGAATCAATATTCTTGCTGCTGCCATAAAAAATCTAAATCAATCTTTTTTTTTTTTTAAGGTTTTAGAAGTGATGACATGTAAAACTTTCCGCTTTTTTCCCCTTTTTTAAATGTTATTTATTGGCTATGCCATTCGCACGGCACTAGCTCCCCTAGACGGCGCTGGGAAGCACTAAAATTTCTCTTTGGCACCATCTAGAGGCACTAGTGCCGCGTGAACGATATCCGCCCAACATGGCCACTCCACCCTGGGATGCTCTGGCTGGCCTCCTGCCCTGCTCTTGACAACCAGTGATGTCACTGGTTGCTAGGAGCTGGGCAGGACCCCAGGGGCACACTTTGATGTAAATAACCTTCTGACTGTATGTGATCTGTACATTAACCCCTTCACCTCTGCTTCCTTCTGAATATATGACCTGTATATAGTGCGCCATTACCAAGCTCCATGTTTTTACCTCTCACTGCCGGCATGTTTCCTTATTTCCAAATAACTGTGGGACAAAAAGGGATTACCTTGGGGCATCCATTATCCAAAAAGGGGTCATTTGGGGGCGTTTGTACTGTCCATTTTAATATGAAATGTTTTATAACAGAAAGGGAAACTGTTTTTCTAACATTTTTTTTTTCCAGGGTCCTAAAGGTAAGAAGCACTTCTCACATGACAATGCTGACCAATGACTGCTCGCCATTTGCAGTGTGTGGCTGCAGTGTGGTGTACAGTGTATGGACCATACATCAGCTGGTGAGGAAGGGGGGCTGTAGCTTGGAGCTAAAAGGTGGTGGCAGAATGCTCTGGGTAGGTTCATTTTCTCACATTCTGGCAATGAAGGGGTATTACAGGTTGGTACTCCAGTGCTGAAAACAAACCTTTGCTTTGCCTACTCTATAAAGTCCACTTACTCTTCAAGTCTGTTTTTCTGTCTTCTGTCCTTCATGACGTAGACTTGTATACTTGGCTTCGGTCCTCCATGGCGTAGACCTGTATATTTGGCTTCTGCCCTCCATGTATTAGACCTTAGTACATGGCTTCTGTCCTCCATGGCGTAGACTTGTATACTTGGCAATACAAAAATGCTTATGGAAGAACGAATCATTGAAATGACAATTGTTTGTTAATTGGATGGTGCCCCCTCATCCAGCTGCCCTCTAATGTCTTTCTCTGACCTCACTAATACTGTACAAGCTCTCTTGCTGTTTCTTTAGCAAATCTTAAAGTCTTTTCATCTTCAATTCCTTTGTCATTAATGTGGTAATTGTTTTGCGTAAAGGCAAAATAATACTTTGTCAATGAGCATTGAGCGTTCCTAATCCTGCCTCTCGGAGGGATTTGGATGATAATAGACACAGCTAGATAAACTGAGGGATGAGCAGAGAGGACATGGCCATGCGTTGGGACATGTCAACCAAAGATGTGATGGCTCCTCATAGCTTTCCCTGGAATCCCATTTACCATTAGTGTGTTGGTACACAGCAAAGTAGGAAATGGGCCCTTGTATTCTCAAGTGGAAGCCCGTGTGACGAGGTGACAGTGCCGGAGAGCAATCGGGAGACAGTGACAAAGTGTTGTCACCCTAAAACAAGAAAAAGGACTTTCATGGGGAACCACCAGGGATTACTTTAAAGAGGATCTTCACCCTCCCAAATGAACCCCCCTCCTTCCCCCACTAACCTTTGGTGCTCTTCTTCTCAATACAAATTAGTAAACTAAATGTGAGATTGTAGCCCATCCCTGGAGTAAGCTTGGAGCGGTGACTACTTTACAACACACACAGGGACCATGGGGAACAAAAGTAGTCACCCTCCAGAAGGAAGGACAATGTCAGCACCAATTCAGAGATGATTTGAGGATCTACAGCTGAGTGATACACAAATAAGATACATTGTTGTTAATATTTGAGGTACTTGAATGTAATTTTAAGGTTTAACTCCTGAGTTTAGTGTCACTTAAAGCCGGTAGTTTTTCAGACGAACGTTTATACGAAAAAATCTAATCAGAACATTGTTTTTGAGAACAGTTTGGCTGGGGAAGACCTGCTCTACAGAACATTAACACGTGAAAGACTTCATGGAGAGGAATTGACCCACCATGGCCATCTGCCCAGCGAGGAGTGGACATGTGAAGACATGTCTAGCCATTACCTGGAGGGAGTCAGTGAAGACACGCTAGGCTAATGTTTTATTAAGCTGACCTCTGACCTTTGCTTGGTTTGGTTTGTTGGCGTGCTGGTTACTTATTTCTGGAGTATGGGCTCTTTGCTGCCAAGCTGATTCTCAATGGATCACAGTATATTTCTAGCTGTACCCCCTGTGGAGATGAAGTCGGTAGGGACCGGCTTCGGATCACATGATCAGGAATCCCATGAAACACCTAATACACAAGCTAAGAAATATATACTGGCCATGCACTGTTCATCATGCACGGGCTGAACTAGAAAAATTACCCAATTCCCCTGCTGGTGGCGACGGCTTAATACCCAATCAATCATCGTAGGTCATTGGCTGCAAAAAACTGTTTGGCCGATGATTTCCACCTGGCTCCTTTGATGATTGAAAATGTTGGCTTCTGTCGAGCCAATTGATGCCAGCAGGACCACCCACAGATTGAATTTTGCCCAACTCCCCAGATAGCAAGCAATTGAGCTGCAAGTTTGAAAATGACTTGCTAAACTATTGCAGACTTGCCGAGCTTCACAATTTTGTTGCGCAATTACAGCAAGTCTGCATTGCAAGTCTCCAGACCAGCGAGCTTGCAGAGCTCTTGCTAGGACCTGCAGGACTCTTGCTGTAGACTTGCCAAGCAAATTTGCTACAAATTAAAAAAGTGTCACCTAGAACTTGTGCTGCAAGTGTTCTGGAAGTCTACAACTTGCCAGGAATATGTGCAGTGAGTTAGA